AGCCCCAAACTGGACACAGGGTTCCAGGGGTGGTTATGCACTATAAGAAGCAAAGGCCACCGAAGGTTCCTTCGCACTCTTCAGAAGATTCAGAATTAATCTGAACTCAGCAGCTGGTCAAACAGCACAGCCAAGATTTCCACCTCGTATTCTTAGCTTGCAAGGGGTGCCAGTCACCCCGCTTGCCCCCCCTCAGCTTACCTGTCTGCACGCGTAGTCGCACTGGTCACACTTGAAGCGCTTCTCGTTCTTGTGGGACTTTTGATGCTGGATGAGGGCATACCGCTCGTGAAACACGGCGTCGCAGTAGCGACACTTCTTGCCCTGCTCGATGTAGGAATGCTGCTTTCGCAAATGGACACCTGGGAGCAAAAAGAACCCGAGGCTTTCATCTCCGTGGCTTCCCAAGCTTTAAAGTTCAGCCCACAGTCCCCTCTGTGATCCTTCCTCCCTGTGCTCCTGAGCTCAAGCCAAAAAAACCTGAAATGGTTCATTTAGGATTCAACTACAAGACTCCTAAGAGCAACTAGAACAAATTCTAGACAGAAAGGTATTGGAGGAAAACTCCTTTTTCCCCATGGGATTCTAGAATTGGTTATTAGTCACAGCCTGCACCAACACAGCGCATTCGGTAACGTACAACTGTCAAAACTAAAGCTTCTTGTAGACTGTTATGTTTTAAGACTACTCCAAAACACCTGGACACAGTCAAAAACCAGGGAATACACCGGGGGAAAACAGGATTTTCTGCAAGATTAGAGGTCAGAGTGACAGGGCCAGAAGGCACCAGGGATACCAGCAGATAATCCCCGACAGAGGTTTTAGTCGCTTCTTTAGAACTCTCCAACCAAGAGCGTACCGCAGCTGCGCGAGGTAGCTTAGGGCAGCCCAAACAATTATTACAAGAAAAATTTTTCAGAGCGAGCATCATTTTCGGTCCCGTTGTAAAGCAGCTCGTCTGCTCCTGCCATCCTCTTCAGCTGCCTCTCGCTGCAGCGCTTCCCACTTGTCTGAACTGGAAGGGAGCCTGCCTTCCCATGACTTGGGTGACATTCTGTTTTAAAGACAGAAAGTTCTGCCAAATCGAGGCTTCTTCCTTCTCCTCAGCTGCTCTGAGCACGATCTTATTTTTTTGCCTTCTCGTAGAACGCAAGAAAAAAAAAGAAAAGAAGAGCTTCCCTGCCAGAATCACACTGGGGACTGCTCACCGGATCAAGCCTCTCCTACTGCAAGGACTTGGGGATTTTGTGACAATCTCTCCTGCCCTGCCTGTGGCGCATAGCTCCAACACTGGAAAATTAAAATTGGTCTAATTCGAACCTTTGAGCTCGACGGAAATATCTCTGTGTGAAATTTAGTGGCCTCTGAGGAGGGTCAAGCCAAGCAACTTCTGTTTAGGCTCTGATCCACCTGTGGATCCTGTCAGTCCAAGTTCACCAACTGCCTCAAAACACTAACTTGCCTTGTCTGCTTGGAAAATAGCCTCAATTTTCAAATAATAAAAGCCATCTGAAAATTCTTATAGTCTGCAGTGCCTGCTGTCAGCTACAAGTGCGTATCGCCATCACCAGCCACGCAACTAAGTCCGGGCTTCACGTTACTAGAAATATTAGGTTAAAAATAATAATAAAAAAAAAGCAGTTGGATTATGTCAACTCTTAATTTTGGGAAGAGTTTTGTAGAATCTTCACCGAACGGCCGCTTTTGTGAGGTACGTACCCAAGTCGCTCTTCCTGGCTATAACGGTATCACAGTGAGGACAGTGAAATTTGGCCACGTTCTCCGTGTGCTTCTGCAGAATGTGCATCTTCATGGTGCCGCTCTGAGTGAAGCGAGCGTGGCAGATGTAACATTCATATGGCTTCTCTCCTTCAGGAGCAGAAGGAAATAGGAAAAAAAAAAAAAAGAGAAGCACAAGTACTTTTATTAAAAAGAAATCTCACCAAGAAGCCCCAAATAAAGCCCAGAAATTTGCAACAGCCAGTTGATAGAAACTTTAGAAAGATCTCAAATGTCTTTTTCTCAACAACTTTTAGCTCGTGTGCTTCTTTCTACAGAGAGATTCGGGTTCAATTTTTAAGCAAATGAGTTAAATTATGATCTTTACTCCAAGAATCTCGTAGAAGACTTCCACACAGGCTGCCAAAAGACAAGTGGAATGAGATTTGGTTTTGAAATTAATTAATTTGGCACTCCAGTGCTAAACTCATCCTTCTTTCTATTGAAGAAAGAATTTTGGATCGCTGTGAACTAACATGCATGAGACATTTGTGCAACCACACTCAACTGTAAATGGCTACAATTTCCAACTGGAAATAGAACATTGGTACCAGAAGATGTTTCTTTTGTTCATATTAGAATCACCTCAAACTGGAAAAGAGAATCTTCTAAGCTCAGGAATTACTATCAGGGCATGAATTTACTAGAGGTGACAGTTCATGGTGCATTCTCTACAGATTTCCTAAAGGTTTTGTATTCAACTCGAGAGCAACATTTCTTTTGCTGTTTAAGTGTCAGCACACGTGGCAAACAGCCTCAGCCACTAAAAATCCACCCCAGCGGCAATACCAGAGTGGGTCCTCATGTGCCTCTTCAGTTTGTAGGTGTCCCTGCTGGCGTAGCTGCACAAGCTGCACTGGAACGGACGCTCTCCGGTGTGAGAACGGATGTGGCGTTTCAATTTGCTAACCTGGAAGTAAAAGGCAAGCGTCAAGTCAGCGCAGATTGCCAGAAGGACAAGCAATCAGTCAAGAGTTTCAAGGCAGGCTATTTTTATCTCGCCGCCAACCCACACCAAGGGCGCTTCAACGTCGATTTTCAGCCGCGCATCACGACTCGCTGCTGCCCGCCCGACCTCAGCCGAGGACCAACTTGGTTTTTCTGTCCTAATTCACGTCATGAAAACGACCGCGATAAGATTTATTCAGCGCTTAAGCCACAGGGCCTGGAATTACAGCACTGCAGCCACAGTGTGGGTAGGGAAAAAAAGAAAAAAGACCCCAAACCCCTACTCAAGCTCACTCCCTGCAGCCTTCTTCCACTGCAGACACTCCCCTTCTAAAAATCACGTCATTCGCCATCTTGCAATTTCCTACCGGGCCACACAAAAGCTGTTCTCTAGCAACACTGCACAGAGAAGCTTAATTTGCTCGAGCAGATTAGACACCGAGCCGGGCGTCAGGAAAGCTGCTTTTCCCCAATACTGAGGCAAGGGCTCGTTAGGTTTGGCTACAGCCACCTTACAGGCAAGACCAGGCACCAAAAACCTGAAGAAACGATGACAACTGTTTTCTCCAGACCTCACCTAGGATTTTTCTGTGCCTCAACGCTCTCCAACTGTTTTCTCCCTAACTGTGGAACCCCCACCATTCGTTTCCGTGAGCAGATCGGATTTATAACTTTTTTTTCCCCCCACTTGGCGCCTTTTAAGCGAACGGCCAAAGAGGAAATGCCCAAGAACAGAGTTTCCAACAGATGGTGAATGAGCTCTGAAGCGTAAAAGGAAGGAACAATTCACTAACGTTACCTCCACGCTAGCGTAATCACACATTGAACATTTGAATGGTTTCTCATGGGTGTGTTTGTAGCGGCGATGTCGAACCAATTCTCCGCTGGTCACAAAGGCCATGTCGCAGTCTGGGCACTTGTGAGGGCGAGTACCTAAGAGTTCGCAGCAAAACAGGAAGGCAACAACGTTCAGATTTAGTGACAAAAGAAAAGAGAGGAGTTTTTTGGGGCATCTGTTCATTTATTTAATTTTTTTTTAAAGAGTGAAATAAAAACATTGCTTTCACGTCCTGAAAGATCAGATCAGAGCAGTAAAGAATATACAAATGTCACAACTTTTGCGTAACTAACGGACTGAACATCTCAGCAAATATTCTTTCAGTGAGGAATTTTTTGCTATCACTTGATTGTTTACGAATTTCAAACCATCCAATTAGACACAGAGAAAATGAGGCATATAAATTATATTTTTTTTTTGGCAGAAAGGTCACAACAAGCACGGAGTTTACTTCCACTTCTGTTACCTGTAGTTTTATACCAGAAACTTCAGTAAGGAGCAACAGCAATGTGCTACAGTTCCTAGCCACAGGTCCAGTTCATAATTTAATTTCTTGGAGTTTTTTGTTATTTTCAACTCCCTCAAGATATTTAGCTTCGGTCTCACTCTCTGCTTACTTTTCTGCAAGCAGCAGCGGCGACACAAAGCTTTGAACCCAAGGACTAATACCCAAGAAAACTGGAGGAACGTTTCTCTAACTCCAGGTCATTTCAAATCAAGCCCGGGATGGATTTTACACCGGCGCACAGGGCAAGGTCCGCATCTGACCTGGCCAGGAAGAAAACAACCGTGTTTGTATCAGGAAAAAAAAAAAAAAAAAAATCAGCGCCACCTGGTTACTTCCTTTTCAGCTTGTTCTGCAAAGAGGAGTTAAGATTCAAGATAGATCCAACCTGGTTTTCTATCTAAGGACAGAGTAGATCCTACCAAAAAACCCCCAAACCCCACGACGTGTGGCAAAGCAAAGAGCACCTGTGTGAGTGTTGAGGTGGTTCCTCAGCAACGTGACCGTCCGGAACGCTCTGCCGCAGAGGTGGCACTTGTGCGGCCTTTCGTCGGTGTGGCTCTTCATGTGACGGTCCAAGTTGGAACGACGCGGACAAGTGTAACTGCACAGTTCGCACTGGAATGTCTTCTTTACACCTAGCCACGAAGGAAACCGTCGTTAATCTGCGGTCT